ATTGATACCAGTTGATGAATTTAGCGGTGGATCAGAAGCTGTTCTTTTTCGGCTTTCAGATAGTTGTCTAACTGCAAGATCACCACCACTGCTGTCTTTCACTACTAGTTCGGGTTTAGCACTGTCATCTGATGATAGGTGGGCTACACGCTGATCAATTACACTGACGGTCTTACGAGTATCCACAACTTCTGCAACTGCATTTGCCTTTAACTCTACTTCACGTTCAAGTTGTACAGAACCTTTATTTAACTTAGCAGTAGTAGGCATATCCCTCATCTCATCATGATCAACCAAAGACAACTGTGAAGTATCATGATCATTATCACGAATATTCACTTTACCGTCAATTTCATCATTTTCAAACTCTTTAATAACAGAAGTAGACAATTTTGGTTCCTCCTCACAAATCCTTGAAGGTTTTATACCTTCACTCTGACTAGTAATACCTTGTAAACTTGTAGGGTCAGAAATGCCTTCTGAAGCAGTAACTCTATTCTGTGACACTCTATTCAACAATGGCTTACCAGTTGCAACTACAGACTTCCTCACCACACCGTTATCGTCACACAATTCGGAGTCAGGCCTGGAGTTTACATTTAGCTTATCACTGAACTTGCTCACTGATTCACTGTTCACCTTTGTATGCACCTCTTGCAAACGTGTAAAACACAACCGTGTTTGTCTTGCATCTTGTAACTTATCTGTTGAGGATGTACTACGAAACCTGTTACACTCACTATGCCTATATGCATTACTATACATCATGGAGCCTTCTCGATATCCACCTCTCTGAGGCCTACTCGTCATCAATGATTGCATTTTGCTCTCAGACTGCTCTATTCTAGGGGTGAGATGTAATAGACTGGCGAACTTGCTCATAGATTGATTGACACTAGTATTTACCAGTTTCAGGATATCATCAAACCTTGGCTCGATACCCTCATCCTCCATATGGGAGCTCATCTTCACCCACTTCCTTTGCAGTCGAGTAGGTAAACGACTTGCTATTACTTCTAGTATGAAACTCGAGTTGAGGTCACTCATGCGATTCATCGAAATCATTGCATTCTTGTAAATCAGTAAATTATTCAAAAACTCAGTGAATGCCTGGGAGTCATCCTGTAATTGACCACCATTACTTTTTACAGCCTCTAATATTTTCACTACAATCATTTAAGATCTTCGATACCTTTGACGTAGTATGATGATAGCCTCAGCGCATCCCTCATTAGGGGGCATGAGCTTACAGCACTGTATAGCTCTTGAAGCATCTCCAGTGCAATACCTCATTAAATACATTAATTTCATTTCATCATTGAATAAAAAACCACTTAACATGATTGCAAATTTCCTTACAAACTGTAAATAATCAGCTGGGTTTCCATCGAAACACCTTGGTTCAAATTTAGGGAGTCTGATGTTCCTATTATCCCTGAACGGCGAAACAGTAACATCAACCATGTCATGTTTAACATCAGACACATCGTTAGAACTAACAGACAAGTCACCATGACTTACTTTCCTGTTTGCATCCAAGACACTTTGTCCCTTCTTTGACGCAGGCATTGTTGAACTTGACCCAATTCCAAAAAAGGTTCCAGATATTGCTTGTTCAAAGAGGACTTGACCGGCACCAGGAAAGATGAACGGTGACTATCCAAACTGTCACCAACTGTCCAAAATCGTCAGAATCTTTTTCCAGCGTCAGAAACTGTCAGTCACGTCTAGTAAATCGTCAATGCCCAGCTCTTGCTACGCTGGGACTCACGCTGTTCCTTGCAGTTTCTCAGAAACGCTTAGTAATAACGCACGCGAAACCAAAACACCGATTGGCCACTCGAGAATTTTATTGTAACACCAACATATAGCCAACTTTAAAATTAGGCTTTAAAACTAAGGTCTATGAACAAATATTACAATAATAAATCACAATATTACTTCTGACGGTTTTGGCCTGACTTCTTTCTGAACAGCGACCGATGAGACGATGACTGGTGTACTGATACCTGCGCGAAAATTGGGGAAGTTGGTTTTGAGCAAACAACCATGAATTGATCGTTCAATCTTCAACTACATTGACAATAGCTCTTGAAGCAACTCCGGTGCAATACCTCAACAAATAAATTAACTTCATTTCATCATTTAGTAAAAAACCACTCAACATGATCTCAAACTCTTCGATAAACTGTGGATAGTCATCTGGGTTTCGATCGAAGTACCGAAGCTCGAATTAAGTTAACTTTAAACCCTTACTATCCGTAAACGGCGAAACATGAACAACAGACTCATCATGCTGAGCATCATCCATATCATTACAATTAACAAGCAACTCAGCATTACTTACTTTCCTACCTGCTTCCAGGACGCTTCGGCCCCTCTTTGACCCAGGCATCTCTGAAATTAACCAAAAAATACAGAAAAGTTCCAGATAACACTTGTCCAAAGAAGACGGGCAGACACGAGGAAAGACGAACAGGAACAATCAACTGTCAGTCAACTCTCAGGAACTGTCAATGTCCAGCTCTTACTGCACTGGAACTCACGCTGTCCTTGGAAGACTTTCGGAAACAATTTGTAATAACCAACGCGAAAACCAGAACACAGGTTGGCGACTCGAGAATCCTTTATTCTTACGCCAATATGTGCCAAACAATAAGGTTATTACACACAAGTTTTCTGATGGTTTTTTTATCTTCCTGTGTTAAGCGAACGATGAGACAATGACTGCTGTGCAGGGTAGCGATATGGAACGCTTTGTGCATTTTACCTGCCGGAATCTTCACAAGGTTGCCAATCTGACCCATTATTCTTTGGTACCACGTGCAAACGTGAGGACGATGGGCTACTTGTTGGCCGGATTATTTCCATATATTCGAACTCAGCTTTAACGGCCTTCAGCTTTTCTTGGGACAAACGTCGAGGCTTTGCAAATACTGGCGGGCCAGTCGTAACAATGTGATGCGTGGTGTTGGATGTCACACATCTTAGACATCAGTTAGGCTTAAGCAGGTCATGAAAAGATTGAAGTATATGGGGATATGGTCCAGCTGAAGTGGGTGTAGCAAATAACGGACTGACGGCTGGGCCCTGTGTGGCGACTCCGCCGACGGAGAGTTTTGTGACTGGATGTCTTAACTTGCGATTACCTGTATCTACCAGTAATTGGTAGTGCCGCAACAGATGCATACCAATTATACCTGTGGTGACATCTGCCACTAGGAAGGCCCAACGAAATGAGCAGCGCAAGCCGATAATAAGGTTTACAAAACGCCTGCCGAACGTAGCAATTGGTGAACCATTTGCGGCTCGAATTTGTAGAGACATTTGCCGCCTGCGCTCCTCTACTGTGGGTGGGATTACACTGACCTCCGCTCCGGTATCAGTGAGGAAGCGTATGCCCGTGTTACGGTCGGTAACGTAGAAGAGGCTACATAGGAGTGGTTCGCACGTAATGTTAGTCGCCGATACGTGCTGACCTGCTAGTTTCCCAACTGTTGGACGTCGAAGGTGCACGGGCTGGTGCACTTTTGAGCCTTATCCCCATAACGCCGATGATACCAGCACACTCCAGACTGGGAGTTTCTAGACTTACGACGCCCACTGTTAGCACGTGAAAAGGATCTATTAGGAGTCGAGGTGGTACGACTACCCGGGCGACCTGTAGCTCTCATCTCCTGTCTAATACCACATATCTCCTCGTAAAGCCTTTTAATATAGGCCACCGCATCGAGGCTTGATGACTCCCGGGCAGAATAATCCTTGATCTGAGCGGGACTACCGGTTACCACGGCCGAAATGCTCATGTTGCATCTAGTGGCTTCATCTGCTCTATCGGCCGCCTCGGCTAGTTCCGGTAAGAGGGTCTTGTAGGTCGGGGCTAAAATGCCCTAATCCGTCTGAGGTAATCCTTTTAGCCAAACATGTTTTAAAAAGGCATCATCTATTTTGAACTCAGCAAGTAACTGTTTCATCTTTCGTAACATTCGAGTGGGCTTACGGCCACCGAGCTGAACATCTCGAAAAAGTTCTTGCACTTTTTGTTGGCTAGTGAGTGCAACGCGTTTACTTAGTGCTTGCTTGAGACGCTCGTACAGGTAGGGAGACGGATCCTCGAGAACGTCAGACACCTCCTCCATGACATTCTCAGGAAAACTCACAATTACCAGGTTTACCTTGGTTTCATGTGAGTGTATATGTCTGAGGGTAAAGAGAGCTTCCACGTGGCCGAACCATCCAATCTGTGAAGGAGGACTGTTGTCGACTATTATGCGGACAAGACGATATACTTAAGGAGTGATAACAACAAATATAGGTGAAAACAAGGCAATTAAAATTTTATAACCTCACGTGAAAAATAAACAAAATGATGATGCCTGTAAACTGGCGTCCCTCATGTACTGCATCATGAGAATAAATTTATTTATTTATAATCAATATGATAAAGGACTACTAACACGTTAAGCTGCTATGGAGACAAAGGATGAAAATACGGGCTTACTACTTGTAAGACCTGTACTTGACTTAATGTAGACCTCAAAATAAACGCTCTTACAAAAAGAACTTCACCGTTTTATGACCTTAACAGTACTCTGCCTAACGTGTAAGTATTGACGAGCTAAATCAAAGTAAAAAGACTCGAGGTGATGAGTGTGTCTGGACAGAGTTATATCTTATACAAATGAGATATGAAACTTGATAAATAAAAAGTTTATCCAACTTATCTGGTGCCTTGATTGGTGGTAGGCTTGGAGAGTGCAACGAATGAAAGCACAACAGGAGAGCGAACCAAATGTGTACAGGAGAGTTAAAACTCAAAAGATAAAGTAGTGCCAAACTAGTAGGTGAGTGAGTCCAAACAAAAGTTCAAAGGTTCAATTTACACAACATACCGAATCTTTGAAGAAGGGTTTTGACAAGCACAGAAATGTACTATGAAAGGATTAACAAGGTCTTCAAGCCTTGTATCTTCAGCCAACAAATTTGCGTCTGAATTCAATACACGCAGTATTTAACTTGTGCGTTACTTGTGGCCCACTTGGTAGGTGTCGTCTATGGAATGCATGTTTTGTTGTTTACATCATTACTATCTTTAAAAACACTAACACAGTAGCTAATCTGTGCATAAACATGCGTTAAATCACCATGTCTACAGTGGGTTCCTTCAGTGACATGTCACTGGAAATATCGATATTTCCTGTTCATACGCAGTTAAAAAGCACATCAATGTCGAACTAATTAATGGGTCATGATTACAGAAATCCAATGTCAAAGGGAAATTAAATTTCTGCATAAACATATGTAAATATATATTGCTAAGATGAATATATGCAACAAGACCTATTCTCCTTATTGGCTGAATCTCAATTAAAATTTTCTTAGACTTTGGATTTCACAGAGGATGGACCGTGTGGAGGATGCAAAAGCACTCTCTCGTTAAAACCGAATGTTTATGCATCTGCTGTGAATACTTCGTCCCTTATGCATTTTGTAACGTGGTAGTTTTACAACATATATGTCTGTCAACTTTGACCGTTTAAATGTACACAAGGTTGCCAATTGAACCCTATCGTTGAAGTTGGAATTTGGAATAAACTTTGCCTTAAAGCAAATAAACTTCTTAATTACTTTTGAATCATGGTAATTGTAATGACATTTTTTGCTGCTATCTTATATTAATTTAGTGAACTAAGTATTGTGTATTACAAGCGGGCTTGTCTTTCGGTCTACCACTAAAAAAATAGTTCTTTGCTAACCCACTGATCCACGCCGTTTTTCTTAACTGTTCGACAGTGGACGCATGTCTGGGGTGACTTTGCTATCACACAAGGAAATCATTGGATTCGGCGTCTGAAGATGGCATTAATTACCGAAAAATGATTTTTAAATCCAGTTGCGACAGTAAATATAAATAATAGTGATTGAAGACAACAACCCACCGAATGACCTTGAAAAACCCATCACGTTGTTTCTCGTTGAGTATGTATTCCATTCACAATATGCCCTGCACTTTGTTAGGTATAGAATTACTACTAGGTTAATATGAGGATTAATCAAGGGTTAGGTTTAGGATAGCAGCTAGTGTTAAGTTTAGGGTTAAATTATGATAAGGGTCATTGGTAGGTTATATTTTGGGTTAGGCAAGTGTTCGACTGACGCTAAATGTGGTAACCATTTACTGGGACCAGAATTATGCAGCATTTTAGAGACTGCTTTCATGAATAGGTTCATTTCTACACATTAAATCGTCCGTAATGTTTTTCTTACGTGACTTATCTGAGTTTGGTTACTATTCTGTATGGTTGCTCCTATGTTGTTGGAGCTATGCATCCTGACTCCATAATGGAGTGTAGTCATCTAACAGATAGTAGATTAATAATCTTTCACTTTGCCACTAGCTGTGATACATGGATAAATGGATGTGCGAACTTGAAAAGAGTGACTTTCTCCTGATGGAAAATACTTAGAGTGCACTTTGCCAAATTTGGGTGAACAAGGCAACAAAAAATCTTAAACAGGCGAACTTCAGGGAGTCTTAGTTCTTCAAGACGACCAGTTCTGTTCGGAGTTGTCAACTGAATGTTCACTGAACCTTCACACAAATAAGGTTAACAAATTTGAGCGGTCGATAATTTCTTGATAATAGAAGTACTCACCATGTTAAACCAACTAGTTAACGTGTGTGATCAAAGACAAATAGCCTTTTCACATATCTCACTTTTAATGGTCATATCTCACAACCGTACAGAAGGACAGAGCGAATCGCTGCTCATTACACACTTACTTAATCTATAAGAGGTTATCACATCTACCCCAGATATAACTCGGGTGGCAGACGCCGCACGGGCCTTTTGTATCTGTTGTGAGATTTTGTCAGCGATTAGTCCATTAGGGTTAGAAAAACTTCCTAATTTAGCGAAGTGGTCAACAGTCTTAACCACTTCACTCTCCATCCTTAAACTCGGAGTCGGTAAATAGCAATCTCTCACCATCATCTTGTATTTGACAACAGTGAATCGCATGTCAGACACAGATTTCTACTCATAGGTGTCTTCGTTCTGTCCCCCGTGTGAAGTGGCATAATAGGATGAGTAATATTGAGGTTAGGCTTCGAGTGTTAGGTAAGGAGGGGAAATCAATCGACGAGGTTGTGAAATTACGTCGATTGAGATGGTTAGGACATGTTACGTATGTCTAGGCGTATCCTTCCTCGACGGGCTATGTTAGCTGATGTAGGATAGATCAGGCTGGGAAAGAGCTAGTGACGGTCAAACCAAAACATGTCATCAGCGGTCAATGAAATCCACAACAGTTAGTTTAAGCCAGCCACGTAGGAAGGTGTAAATTTCCTTGTTAGGGTTCTCAGGATAGTAAGAACCAGTGTCTGGAGACAGTTGGTGATATGGCTCAAAGTTAGTCTCAAAGGTGCAGACGCATTCCTTATGTTTTATAATATGCAATAAAATTCTATTGTTCTTCCATATTACTATTCTTTTTGCCTCATGCCTGTGTTTATTATCTCTCTTTTGAATCTTTCTTTACTCTCTTCTCTTGCTTTTTGTGCTACATTGAGTGTGGCAACTCAAACTGCTGCACATTTGTGCAAAGTTCTATTCTAAAACCAGTCAGTCTGTCAGCTCGACGTGTTTATAAGACTACATTTTGTCAGCGCCATCATCTGGGAGGAATATATAATCTGCTTCCCAGGCAATGCGTTTATCCTTGATTTCGTTACATGAAATCCTTAGATTATATAAGGCTGCTTAACAACGTTTCTTTGCTTATCCATTTCTTTTCCTGCTGTGTAATTACATTTGTTTTGTTGCCCACAGATGGTAGTAATTGATGTCTTTAGGCATTTCCATGATCTTTTAGGACATCATAAATGTATTTATTATTTATTTTATTTTTTATTTTTGATTACAGCTTGATTTCACACTGTATTTTTGGTACAAGTATGGACTGTAAAGTTATGAAAACGGGTTACGAGAAGAATATTCCATGCTGACTTATGACTTTTTAGTCCCGATGTGCCTGAATTCGATTTAGATTACATCCATTGGTACATCAATCAGAAAACTAAACAGAAATGAAGACAGTGGATCTCACTGACAACTGACACTCTCCGTCATCTCTTACGGGGCTTCATGAGATCGAGTAGAGGCCGTTGATTAGTGGGACTCCTTTCACAACCAGACATTGTCACAGCGTCTCTCGGTCTACAAAAACAAATTTCACCTTTGTGTCAAGGAACATTACAAGTGTTGGCTTCCAGTAGGCGCGACTCTGTTTCAGAATGCGTAGAAGGGTGAATATATGGTTAATACTGTCCTGACCTGAATCCTGACTAGTTTTTTTGGGTTTGTTTCTCGCGATTCACAGTAAGGCTACGCCCAATTGCTGAACTAGAAATTTAGGTATTATGCTAGACTAGCTTATCCCACTATGATTATAACACGAAGACATCTAGGTTCTTGTAAAGTGGAGTAATCAGTGATTTACACCAGTCCCACGAAACTATCTCTAATTCTCATACATTACTAAGCATCGTATTCAACCCAAACAAGTTCAGCAGCACCATCGTTAAATACCACTGGAGTTATTCCATCAGGTCCCGCTGCTTTGTATCATTTTGGAATACAGACAGCGTTTGCAATACCAGCTGCATTTGACGGATCTGTATCTACATTCCACATAGATTGGTGTTGGACGGTAAGAAAACTGAGTGTGTCATTAGGTCAGTTAAATTGCCTCTCAACGTGTCTCCTCGTACGCTCGGAAATTATTCCATTTATCAATTAATTTTTACAATTAGTTTCCGTAATGAGCCGAAATTGTTGTCAGATGTTTTTTAGTACTGATACTTTTCCCATCTCTTTGGCTTTTGTCGTTCACTACTGTTTACGGTTGTTGAGAAGACTTCTAGTCACTCATCATCATTTTTGAAGCCCACTAGAACCAGGCTTCTTGTGTCTGTCAGTTTGGACGAAGGCGCGGTAGAAATCAAGCGACATTTACTGACCTTTGGTTTCAGGTTATCAACAGTCTTTGCTGATGTTTCTGCTGCTGATGGGATGTTGAGCTGGGCTTCTTAAGGATAAGTGTTGTTGTTAATTTTAGATACACGTCTAACTGTTTGTTCCTTAAATAGAAACGTTGTGTTTTCATCAGGTTGTAGTCACAAATGCTCCGTAACTGCCTCCTTTATTTTTCCATTCGGTCTGCAATGTATACGTGCTCAGATGTGTTCGTGAATGGAGTCTACACAAATGTTATAGAAGAAATGGAAGTCTCCTGATGACCCTCTCCATCGACAGCTGATGGTTACGTGATCTATTTTAGTCTACGGTTGATATGACGACGGAGGCGTCCAGGTAAGACACTGCCTCTCCTTATGTTTGAAATTAATTCTAATGGTGAATAGGTGATTGATTATCCCAACATAACTGTAGAAAGTGATCACCGTTGTCGATTCGTCAGCATGGGACTACATGAATACCACTAATATGCTTTTCCGACTGGCACAGCTTCCCTATTTAGGTATTAAAATCATCAGTTAAAATGACTGTATCCGGGCGTTTTGCTTTAAGCAGTAATCTAGACAGCCTATGGAGTGACATTCCTTACTTCATGGTTGATGGTCAGGTAAATACATTGGCTGTTGTCGCAGTCTTTCTGTCGTCTAAAGGATGCGTTTCGCCGGGCAGCACATAAAAGACTATCCACTGGGATTTGGTCAGTTAGGGATTTCTCCACTGCTCTGTCCCTAAATGAGGTTGCTAAGGCTGTCACAAGTCTGAAACGAGGCAAGCAGCAGGATCTGATGGAATGATTTCAGAGGTAATTAACTACGGTGGAAACAGTTTACAGTCTGTGTTAACTAAGGTACTAGAAATCGTTTGGGAATCAGAGGAAGTCCTGTCAGGTTGGTGTAAGTCGCTGATTATCCCCATATACAAGAAGGGAGACAAGTCTTCCTGTGGAAATCACAGGGCCATTAGCTTGACTAATATAGTATCTAAAGTCTTAAGCTCAATAATCATGCGTAGACTAAGCGGTGCTCGTGAGGAAGAAACACGAGAGAACCAGACAGGCTTTAGACCAGGAAAAGAGTGTATTGATCATATTTTCACCCTTTGACAGATTCTGCAACACTGGTGGCATACCTATCGGCGTCCAACAATCGTTATATTTCTTGAGCTGAAGGCGTCATTCGGTTCTGTCGATCGGGAGGTACTATGGCGATGTTTGGCTGTGAAAAAATGGCGAGAAAATGCATTGCACTGTTCAAGGCATTCACTCTACTCGCACTCATACAGTCAGCCAGGTGAGAGCTTACGGGGAGTTGTCATCGGAACTGGTGACAACTAGTGGTGTCCGACAGGGATGCCCACTACCCCTATTTCTATTCCATTTCATCATAGAAGCGCTAGTAGAATTAACCCTATCTCACTTCAGAGACTCAGGGATTGACTTGTTACCACTAGGGAATAATCTCGCTGACTTACAATATGCAGGTGATACAGTCCTTCTAGGTGAAGACGCTGACAAAATGCAGAGTCTTCTGAACACCTTTAGCTGCAATCTGGAAATGTTTGGCATGCGATTCGTTCCTGTCAAACGTAAGATGATGTTACAGGACTTAACTACATTGACTCCTAGCTTAGAAATAATGAGTGAAGTGGTTGGTGGAGCGTGTTGACCACTTCGACCAGTCAGTCAGTCACCCTAGCACTGAATACGATCCTTTCAGCTGTAAGTTCTCTCGGACTACCTAGGGGAAATTTTTGAAATTCTACTCGGTGGCTAGGTGGGTGTTTTATGCATGTGTCCGAAACATAACATACATGTGTGGCTCGAGATGAGGCCTACTTTTGGATACGGCAAGGAGTCCTAACTTTGAAGACTCTCATATGATGTTTACAGCGTGATTTTAGAAGACTAGTGTTTTTGCTGCTCTGGTTGCTATTGGTGGTCTTAGAGTTGAGATCAGGTGAGCGACGTAACTGTAGAATCGTGTTAAGAGTGGGAGGGAAGCGGGAAGGTGGTGATGGAGATGAGGGTGGGTGTTGGTGGTTAATACTCCTGAACTGTGCACACTATGAGTGTTGATTTCTCGTTGAGAGGACTGAGACAGAAGGAGTATTATTGCTGTGTGACCACAGAGCCAGAGCTGGAGAGACAACTGTTTGAGGCTGACCCCACACGTCCTGTTTAATTTGGTTTTCTGAGTTGTTCCCGTAATAAGAGTTTTCTCCTGGCTGCGTATAATTGCACAGAAGTATTTCCGAAGTGGATTTTCTTTTGACTACAGCTTGATTCCACACTGTATTTTTGATACAAGTATGGAATTTTCATTATGGATATCGATAGGCCAAATTTCGCAGGCCGATCATAGATATCAGGTGTGCGTCAGTAGGGAATCGAACCTCGGACCATGTGCATGGTCGGCGAGAGTCCTAACCACTATGCCACCGACGCACAGAGCTAGGCAGCAACATGAGTGGTGTGCTGGTCATCCGAGATAAACACCTTTTTTCTCTTATATTCCTATTCGCCAGTGGTGTGATGTTCTACTGGGACCGCATACGTAGTACGGGCGACTTGGAAACGAATTCCCATATTCTTAATTCCATGCTTATTGTGGATTGCTTTCTGAGTCTAAATTGCTCATTAACAATAGTAGTAATAACGTCACCACGAAGTTGATTGCCTCGTTGATCTCAGTAACCCTTCTATACGTATAAACGGTCAGGTAGAAATATGTTCTACTCGAGTCGCAGGAAACCTGATGAAAATTCATCCTTGGTGTATAAGGCGACGTCATGTAACCAACTGTTATGACTTAAAATGTATTAGACATCAAGAGGCTAATACATGTCATACGGTGACCAGTAAATACTTCGTAATGCTCAATACAAGTTGTGCCACAAATCACACTCACTGGTAGCTGTATATAATTGCGGTAAATAGTTCATCTGTTACACAGCAAATAACGGATAGAATATGGCATGAATCAGTCAAGTCATTGTCTCTGTTGAGAAAAAGTCAGGAAATCCAAATTTAGTTGATTACCTTATTCAACCAAGTCGTCCTCAGTGATAGTTGACAAGCAAATATTATATAGTTGATGGTAAGGTGGGATAGGTTGATAGGGTTACCAAGAGATGCAGGTTTCTAAAGGTAGTTTTATGCTATGCAGCACGATATCAGCAAATCTGTTTTATACACTTATTTCCCTTTTATGAATAAACCAAGAACACTATTTTGCTCAGAATAACATCGTTTATCTCGTCGGCTTCTCAACAGTTGCCTGCAGCCTAAAAAATCGTTAAGTCCGTGTACGGAACAATTTTTACATACTTGCCCTTGTTACATGATATAAGTTGACAGGAGACTGCAAACTTAATAAATAGTGCTCAGAAAATTACAGAAAATTATACAGTTCATATACAGAGAGTTCAAGTTTAAGCAAAAAGTAAATCCCTCAACACTGGCCAGTTTTAGAATATACAATGAAATGGTTAGATAGTTGACCGTTTTGTAAAGCTTTTTCCCACACTAATGGAGTGATTGCTAACAAACTGTCAGCATGGATACAACAAATATTCGTTTATCTTACTTCAGCTGCTCTCGTGAGGTGAATAAATATGATAAGCACTAAGGAAGATATTCACAAACTATTAAGTAAGAAAGAGCCCGGCCGACAACTGCTACCTTACCGTGGTGGTCGGGCTTGAATACTGCTGTGACCCAACAAGCTAAACTGGTTGGGGCTCATGTCCCTGCAGCTCCTGCCATGTCAGGAAGGTTGTTTGGATAGCGGTTAGACTAAAAGCAGTTACCATGGGGTACATGGGCTCCAGAATCCAATGGGATCAAATGGCGTATGAACCCATATGGGTCACCGGAAACCATGGGAATGCAGCTGCTGACGCTGTTCCGCTGCCTTGCGGATTAGACTCCAAGTCGAAGGTTCGGGGGGTGGTCCCTGAAGAAAACCACCTGCTTCGGTCTGGGCGCCCGGGCAGTTTCTCAGGCCTCACACAAAGTGTGGGGCATCTTTCTTGGTGCCATATTGTACCAAGTTTTTTCTGCGTTTAAATAAAAGTAGGTAAGGAAGAAAGTCAATCAGTGCTTTTGTAAAACTTCATCAACTAAGACGACTAGCATATACACACTAAGCCACCTCTTTCCTTGTTGAGCAATATCAGGTGAAGTAAGATTGAGATTGGGGAATTTATAATTGGTCATATTGAAAAAATGGTACCGGTCTATAGAGTTTTTGACTATTTATGTTGGTCATCATCTGACCGGGATCCTACGGATGCTAAGAACCACTGACTGGAGACGGTTGATGTGACATGGCCTAAGATCGTTCACAATAGCACAGATGTATTCTCTCACTGTCATATTTTAGATTCTGAAGACCTTCGTTTTATCTTCTAATACTACAGTTCCACAAAGTCTATTTCGTCTGTTTTTAAGTATACTTCCGCGAAGTATATGAGCTTGCACCGACACACTTTTGTATAAAGTTCTGTGTTAAAAATGCCGGTCAACTGCTATGCGAAATAACTGTTTGATACATAAAGTGTTATAGACAAGTGGACATTATGAATTTCATTCTGTCTGTCTGTCTGTTTTCGACAGAACTTTGCACAAATGTGCGGAAGTTCAAGTCGCCACATTCCGTGTAGCACGCGAAGCAAGAGAAGAAAGTACAAGAAAAGCATAATAGAAACAGTGAGCAGAGGTGTGAGACAAAGGAGTAATAAAGAATAACAAAACAGTTTCATTGGAGATCATAACTCACAAGGAGTGGATGCATCTGCGCCACTGAGAACGATTTTGAGCCATGTCACCAATTGTTTCCAACCATAGATTTTTACCGTCCCGAGGACCCCAGCCTGGAAGTCTACACCTTCCTACGTGGCTTAGACCAACTGTTGTGGATTTCATTGACTGGTGCCAAGTTTTTGTTTGACCGCCGCTAGCTTTTTTCCAGCCTGACGCTATATCCGCTAACATTGCTCGTCGAGGGAGGCGATGACTTGGCATACGTAACACATGTCCTAACCATCTCAGTCTTTGTAGCTTCACGACTTCGTCGATTGATTTCCCCTGTTTACCTAGAACTCTACGCCTAACCTCCATGTTGCTCACCTTATTATACCACTTTACACGGGAAATAGAGCGCAGGCACCTATGATCAAAGACAGCTAGTCTTTTCATGTCTTCCACTTTCAGTGGCCAGGTCTCACAACCATGAATTTCATTCACGGTGCTTCATATCCCCACATGAAGTGGTTAACTTAAATTTTAAATATACACTCAGTGGTCATAAGATACCAACAAGGAAAAGGCAATAAAACTAAAAAGTTGGATATTTTTCAACTGCGTTTGCACCAGTGTAGCTATTTATATGTACCATAGCCTATTTTATTCGAAGTATCGCGTTCAGGCATTCTGTGTTGTCGAAAGTAATAACTCAGTGGTTGGTGTCGCATATTATTCGGACAGTGAGTAAATTGGTGGACGGTGACTATCAGTGGAATCCAGGATGCACATTTTGCCACTGTTTAGGACTCATCATCATCTGCATATACCTGCATTCCCCAGTCAGTGAGTGATGGTGTTCCCACTAAGTCTTGAACCCAGTACCTATAGTTCCAAACGCCAAAGCGTTATCCACTAGATCATTTGGGACACGAGAGCTACCTCTTTGTTGTGCAATGGGTGTATCAGTCATTATTATTTGATTCAATTTGCACTTTCCCGCTGGTTGGTTGGATCGAATGGCAGCTGCATCCAGATAACGAGTCCCCAGTAGGATGATACACGCATTGTGGATTCCACTGCTAGTCACCACCCACTGATTTACTCCAAGTTAAATAATCAGACATCGTCAAAGCTTGCTGCACAAGGAGCGACATGTCAACCTGAGGCCGAGCACTTCGGGCGAGTCAATCAATGGGAAAGTGGGAGTTGAATTAAATGAGCAATAATATCCAGCTTTTTCGATTTCAGTCCCATCGCCATCTTAAGTAGCGAAATATTGAGTTGTTTTTTGAATTCAGTGAGCAACTAACTGACTAACTGGTGTCCAATCAAAAGTACCCAATACAGTCGTACAGGAGATTAATCGCTAGCCCGAATACCTCATTGGTAACATCTCTGACTTCAACACTGGATAACGCAGATTTAAATCTCAGGAGGGACATGATTTCCTTCAAGATTGCGGATATGCCTTGCTGACTGGTGAGTGCCAACTAGCACGAAGCTTAGGTCCAAGGCTTCGAGCCGATTACCTCTAACCATTTAATTCTACCTTTAGTGAACATTTATAACACTTTCGTTAGCATATAATGTGATATGATACTGATATGATTATGAGCAATAATCTGTGCCTGAAACGTCATCATTTAATATTACTGTATAACACTGTGTGATTTATCAAAATGAAATCTTATCTATAATGGAGTTATGCTCTGTCACAGTGCCCAAGTTTTATGCTTATATAGAATGTGATCTTTTTCTGTCAGTGTATGAAGATGAGTAGACGACATAATGATTGTAAATATTCACCAACATCATTGTACCCATCAATTTTCAATGGGTGTCGATGGGTTACAGTGGTATTCGTAAAGCCGGTCAACCAGCTATGCGTCATTTTGTTAAAGACTGATCTAACACAGAAAATTAATAATTCAGTCTTAGCCCCACTGCCTACATATATAGACTAAATAATCAGTTTGTTTTCAGCCCCTGAATGTCGACATTTTGCTTTTGTTTCTCATGCTGTGGTATTCTTTTCTTTTTATTCCTTCACGTTCCCAGTGGATCACAGGGCTTCAAGCTAGAGGCTTGAAGTTTCTGTAGCAGTGTTTATTTTATTTTTACAGGATGGGGTTGCTAGCTTCATGCCCAACCTTTCCTCTTTACCAGCTTTTTATTACTGGCTTAGCAAGGTAAGTGAGTGTGTCGGTGGCCGGGGGTTGAACCTCGGAGCATGTGCATGCTCGGCGAATGTCTTAACCGCTGTGCCGCCGACGCATGCTGTGCTTTTCATAGGACACTAATTTTTCTTTATAAATCGTTGTTTATTTATGCTCAATTTCACTGTGATTTATGTTATTTTTGTATATTTATCAGATGATCGATGAATACTTGGATCGAAATTCTCCAACCACTCAACAATTTCATGAACTTTTACAGCCTTACAAGACAGAGTTCGGCGCTATTCTACTCAGGGATTATCATGAGTTGCTAAAGAAATATGAAATAGCTGAAATGCTTTCAGAGGATTTTAAAATCTGTACAAGTTATTTATTACACTATGCCTGGGAGAAACTGCATACAGGTCATTGGAAAAATGTTCACATTTGTTGGCGTGTTTTATACGCTTCAATTAAATTGTTAACTGTCTTGTATAGTTTACGTAAGAGTATTAATGAAGATGAAGGCGAGTGTAACAGTTACAATTATTGTCATATACAATACACACAATTGATTTGTGAACTAGACTATAGCCTAATTATGGGTTATTCAATTTTTGATAGTTTTGCTTCAAAATTAGCCAGTGAACTGCACAAATGCATAAAACTGACATCAGAAGAATCAGTTTGTAGTGAAGATATTACTTTTCAGTTGGACAATGATAACTTCGAAATGGAAATGCTGAATCAAACAATGATAAATATGAATAAATTAGCTCGTGTTAGCTGTCCAAGTTTGGAGATGTTTAAAAAGTTGATGAAATTAGGCCGACCATTTATTATTACAAATGCAATCAATTTTTGGCCAGCTTATCATCAACACAACTGGACACTGAAATATTGGAAAGATAATTTTGGTCATCGTCTTGTACCTGTTGAAATCGGTTCAAAATATACTGAAGAGAATTGGGGACAAAAGTTGATGACAATCAATGATTTTATTAATAATTATTTTTTTACATCAAATAATGAAAAGCAAACAAATCTGATGAAAGGTTATCTAGCTCAGTATGAAATATTTTCACAAATTCCTGAACTAGAAAGTGATATACACATACCGGATTATTGTACACTGACTGGGGATGCATTCGATGAGGATACAAACACTGCTAATACTAATGTTGATGATATTCACATTGACACTAATATTTGGTTTGGTCCAAAAGGTACAGTTTCTCCACTACATCATGACAATGATCGAGCTAATTTATTAAGTCAAGTGAAAGGTTACAAATATGTTGTATTATATGAAGCTTCACAGACACTGTATTTGTATGCTTATGAGGACAATATGCTTAGTAATACATCAAAAGTCGATATAGAAAAGCCTGATTTAAATAAATATCCTGAATTTGTTAAAGCTTCTGGTTTCTATGGAATTCTTGGTCCTGGTGAAATGTTGTATATCCCACCACGTTGTTGGCATTATGTTCGTTCGTTGTCAGCTAGTTTTTCTGTAAATTTCTGGTGGGATGTTGTACCATCACTTATACCTCCGTGGCAATAAGGGTTGTCTTGTACATGTGCGTGTGTGTGTGTGTTTGTCTACCTCATGTATTTTTAAATTTTTGTAAATAAATTTTACTTATCGTAGTCTTTGTCTTAAGTAGGAGTTGTATTGTGTTATCATCGTATGCTAACCCTAGTGGCTAAATGTTGACGTAACCTGAAGATCCTTAGTGTTTAGTTTCTGATTCTCATGAATTCTAACCCCTGCTAATTCGTTGCACGGCGTTGCTGCCAACCATTGCCAATGATAAGCGTCCACTGCACACGCACAATGGTGGACCCCAGGGGCGATGACTTCTAATAAGGATTTCATGACATTTACTCTGAAGCCAGTCATTAATGAACACTACCGTTTTGCGTAAAGTCTAAAAAGCCACTAGTAATTAATCTTCAGTTAGTGAGGTCAGTAAGGTCTGATAGTGTGTCATGAAAACTTAAGCTAACCTAACCAAAAGTTTTGTTAGCGTTAGCAGATTAAATATGTATATTTTTGGTTATTTTAATCCAGTGACTGACGCAGTCTTCAAGGAAAAAATCCTCTGTGATGCTTACAGAGGAAGTGATTGATGTCGACAGTCATGTTGTATTTCTCGATTCAATGTAAATTTTTTACTTACATTAATCAAAAGGTCATAGAGGATTGCTTCTCATTGAAACAGAGATGCCTGCTAAATCCAACTTCGTACCGAACAGTCAGTGCTCAAAACTCCTGATTATATTACAGCCGATAGTGAACTATCACGTGCTGCCTACGTTCAGTTATTATTATTATTATCATTCAGTTGGGTTCCGAGTGGAACAAAGGGCTTCAACAACACGTCGCCACTTTGTTCGACATGGTGCTGTCCTTTTCAGCTACGTCCATGATTACCCATAATCTCTCATCTCCTCCGACTCGCGCGATCTCGTCCATGTCACCCTCGCACCGACAACCCACTCGTCGCTTCTTACTGGGACTCCACTCGGCCTACAGTCTGGTACATCATATCATTCAGTAGCCTCCTCAGTGGAACATGCCTGATCCATCTCCGTCTTCCACATATTTTGTTGGGCGGTCGGCTCTTGGTTGGTTTGTTCCCAGCCAGAGCTTCTTCCCACTAATTCTTTCTGGCCGGTCAGAGAAGGTGGTAGCTGTTGACAAAAGTCTACAGTGGCGTGTTGGAAATCCTTTCCATGACACTCAGTGCAAGTTTCTGATCCGTATGGAAGAGATGACTGATTGACTTCATTGACATTTGTGTTGAAAATCCGATTCTTGTTCTTCATACTGAAACGGAGTACAAAAGCTTTCTAAACTGGTTTCAAGTTGATGAAGGCGCGCGTATCTTGCCCTTCCGATTCTGGCTGGCTGGCTGGCTGGTTGACTTTGACATCTTCATCTGTTCCGACTGACTGTGCGTGGAACGATGCTTCCTGGTTGGATAGGTGAAGGAAGTAGCCTCATTCCATATCTTTTCCGTTGATGGTGATTGGTTATGGTTGTTGTTTTTGTTGCTGTTGGTTGTCTGGTTATCATCATCACCTTTGTCTTGTTTATGTTCACCTGGATGGCGGGCGTCCTGTCTTTGCTGACTGCCTGGTTCTTAAGCCAGTTTGTTGTTTTTCGCCTGCCTGCCTGCAAGTTTTCGAGTTTGTGTGACATTAAATGTAAATCACCTATGCGCGAAATTCAGATCTTCTAGAGGTTTCTAATCGGGGGTCCAGCGTATTCCTGTCTTCTCACTACCAACGCACAGTTAGACGCACACTACAGTCCACCAAAATTAAGAATATCATCGGTGATAATAGGAAGCCAACCGGCCAGCTTGTCATACTCCTGTGTTCACTTCGAACGCCTCGCTGAGTGAGTTTACCGTTGTGGATCACCTGACTGACACGTGACAGGCGTTGTCATATAGCCAGCCAGCTGTTGGATGAGGTTGATAAGGACTGGGAACTACACACCATGGTGTTGAAGTAGTCTCCAGGTTACTTCTCTGTCAACGATGTGCTTTCTGGCGAAGGCCGTTTCGAAGTGGACGAAAGAAGTTGAGGTAGTGGTTTGACTGGGATTCTATGCTTTGATTTGTGATGACGATGCGTAGAATTGAAATTCGATCAGAACATGGTTCGAGTGGGACTGGTGGAGTTCTGTATCCAGTGCATCCTCTATTCTCTCCAGGATGATGCGACTTAATATTTTACTTGGCGTGATGAAGAGCATTGTTTCACGCCAGTCAGTTCTTGCAAAGGGAAGCGTAAGTCGCCCTTCTTCCGTAGCTTGACGAGGTAGCTAGCCTTTCTTCCATTCGGTAGACGCCTTTCCCTCCCTCCAAACCTTTCGAATAATGGCGTGAGCACGTTCGCCCTATTCTCTGGCTCCGTTATCAGAGGGGGGGGGGAGAGAGAGAAATCCATTTCTCTCTGCTGCCTTCATGGACTCCAGTAGCTTGGGCACATTCAGGATTTCTGCTTCTGTCGGAGGATTGGTGTTAGCTGGCAGGCAGTTTTGTGCGTGCTTATGTCCAGTTATATCAAATTTTATTATAAATACGCTTATGTATGTCTGTGTCTCTTCATTCAGTTCTATAGAATACATTACCAAAGATTCATTAAGTAGCTAAGAAGTTACAACACAAGTACTGTTGACAGCAAGAGAGTCTGTAAACAATCGTTCTGTTTTTTTCTGGTAAAACTTCAGCTCTCTAAGTTCATAGAGCTCACAGAATTCCCTTCACAGTTAGATCACGAACCCGAAATTTAAGAGCTTTACTGATATTATGATGGTGTTACAGGTGACCCATGCTGGAATATGATGCAAATTTTGTATAAGTCTGAAAATTCTATCCATCAGTTACAGTCAGATTCCCTTGATTCACGAGTCTCTTAAATTAATGCGAGTGTTAAGAAAAACGACAGTCGTTGGCCTGTTACAAGCATGACGGTGTTCAGATATATGGAAGAGGGTAAATCCGGTTTTTTGTCGTTTCACAGTTGTTGTAAAGTGCACGAGCAGAAAATATGCCTGATGTGATAGGTAACAGACTGAACACTGTGACGACTCACATGCATTATATGAATCTTCCTAGGGACTGGCACAATTATGACCACAGTGACAGAATACTCTCAGTCTACTTAAACTTTCCAAACTGGTTTCACCACTGGTCACAAGTTTTCATTTCATATAATCCCCTACCACCGTTGGGCGTCCAAATGATGGCTTCTTGTTTGAGTTCCACTCGACGGCTTTTCGTGTGGTGTAACTCAATGATCTCCTCAGCGCATATCCAATCGTCCACTTTCCGTTTTACATGTTTTTGGGCATAGGTTGTTCGCTGCTATTGTACCGCATCACTTACGCTTTCCAACTGTTCATTTGTTCTTCAGTACCGAGTGAAGGTAGTTGCTGACTAATCTGCAAAAGCCCGTTTGGAATGCTTTCAATGACACGCATGCCTGTCTCGCTTTCCTTACTTATTTTGTCTCGCTTTGAAAACCTCATCTGTCCCGCCTTTGGTTGAGACAATTTGTACCACTGATGGTGACTGCTGCTTGTTGTTGTTGTTGGGTATCTTGATCAACCCTGCCCGCCAAATGTTTACTTGAAGTCCTATCTTCTCTGCCTCTTCTGCCAACGTGTTGGTTTTTGCTCTTAGGGATACATGAATCACCCGCGAAGTCTAGAACTTCTAGAATCTTTTTGTTTATCCTACGTAATCTCGTCTTCGGACTCGCTATGCATGGTGTGAGGCATAATCCACTCCACTACAATTAAGAAGAATTTTCTGCTTTCCAGGCTTTCAGTAAATTTGTGGTCTTGAAGTTGTAAGTACTGGTCGGTCTGAGAGTCCTCTGGAGTGTTCAGCACAATGTTTTCTCCTTTCCACATCTTCGGTGGTTAGTTTCTCTCCACTATCTTCCACTGGCTTCATCGGTGTTGTTTGCTTCGGTGTTAGAGATGTGGCTATGTGAAACAGGGTTTGTAGGTATCTCTCACCTACAGTCTGTTCCTCCCCAGTTGACACAGTATGTCGTAAAAGTATTTTTTGACTTCTTTTTCAGCTTTTTTCGACACTTCTTTGTTCAGTGGTCCGTGGTTTGTAGTCAGCTTTTCCTCTCCTTGTTCATATCTGCACCAGTTCATATTCTGTTTTACCACCCATCTCTTCTCTATCAGCTCATAGAGAACTTTTCATTCAATTACCTCTTCTTCTTATCTAAGAGGCCTTAGAGGTTTCGTTCCATATCACTTCAAATAGTTCCACTCATGTTTCTCCGTCGATGTTGGATAATGCCTCCGACTTATTCTGGATGACTGCAGTGAAGGTGTTATTTGTGGCTTCATCCTTCAGTTTCTTAGTGTTGAACTTAAATTGTGGTCTATATCTAGCCTTTTTGTAGGCTTCTAGCTTAGTATCGAAAATAAAATTGTGATCCGAATCTTCATTGTCTCCTCATCTCGATCTTTTTCAAGTAGGCTGCGTCTGCATACCCTTAAGACCGAAATATAGTCTGTCTGATTGTTAGTGTGTTCATCTGGTGAAACTCCTGTAGCCTTGTGTATATTCTTGTGTTCGTACATGCCGCCTCCGATCACCGAATCATTGAAGGAGCAGAAGTCTGCAAACAGCTCTCTGTTCTCATTCATTTTGATGAGTGGCGACCTGTGGACACACAAGTTCCCTTTCTGTGTTATCAGCTCCAGTCTAACTTGCATTCGTATCACCTATTGGAATTTAGATGCCACCATCTGTCTTGGCTCTCGTCCGTTACTGTTTGCAGATTTCTGTTGATGTTCTACTTCTCCACTGGGTTTGATTTTGTAGGATCATAGCATTGTATGTTTGTCACTTTTCTTCGTTTTAAGTTGAATCTTGCTGTTATGATCTTGAAGGTGATTGGTTGCCGCAGCATGAGACTTCCATACTGTCGACGCAGTCATTTTACTCACATTCTCACTGTGCTGGTGTTGTGGATGGCTGGAGTAGCTTCTGGGCTCACCAATTAACAGTGTGGATTCCGTCTGCTGCTACAGATTCCTAACATTTTTTATGTAGTATCTTCTCATTTATTGTACAGTTTTAGCAAGCTCACTAGCCATTCTGAAACATGGTGCGGATATTCCATATATAAATCTTTACTTCATCAATCAACTGGCTTATCGAAGGCTTCTATCAACTTGCGCCACTATTCATCCTCGACTCCGTCGGTGAATAATTTTATCTTTTGAATGTTTCGAAGTTTCACTAACGATGGGTTTTTTTACCTGGTAAGTTCACTGGCCCCACACCCAGCTTTCTCTCTTTTTCCAGGGTTACGACCGCTGTAGACCGGGTGACCCATTTCTCAATGTGCTTAACTCACAGTTCTAGTCGGCGTTGAATACTGTTTATGCTGTCTGCTTTGTTGATCACAGATCTAGGTCTCAGGTGTTATGGCAAGAAGTGAATCTTAGTTACACCTAGAAATTGTTCTTGAGTTTCCATGTAATAATAATGACAGTAGTAATAGCTTTATCACAATCAAACTAAATTGGAGGAAAAAAAGAATCTTAAATAAACGGAAATGCTTGGAAAGCAGAACAATCATATGGAGAATAACCAGAGTGTAATGGGTCTTGGTGATCACAGCGTGAGTGCATCTGCCCAAACCATATCACCATCAGTTTCAAGCTATTGCTTCTTAGCATTCTGACGATATACACAGTATACGAAGCAACATATAAGAAGCTGCAATACTGACAGGTCAATGAGCACTTCATACGGTACGGTAATTTCCTCTCAATAACTTTCAACTAGCAAAATGTGTCTTGAGACTTGAAGACAAGAAGTTATCATTGCATACAATTAGTTCCTTTTTAAAAATATTCGTAAAGTAGAAGCCATAGATGATTTAGGATATAATGAATACTGTTCGTTGTGCATGCTTTACGAAAAATCGTCTTTGCTGAACAGGTTTCACTTTCTTGTCAGTTGTATTTTAATTTCGAAGGAAATACAGTTTGAATATAACATATATCATTCGTGTATAAATCTACTACGGTCAACAGTGTGAAAAAAACATACACGTTATTTTTGTCAATCTACATGGCTAAATTTAAATAATAAGCTTATTGGCTGACAAAAGAATGACTGTGAGCATGCATAGTGCATGCATTAACTTGTTCGGAATACCATGAATTCTCAAGGGGAATATTTTTAAAAGTGTTGTATTTCATTTGGATTATTTTGTCGTCACTGGAATATTCTGACGACATATATGTGCACCGTGATGGCGAGCTACCTAGAATGGTGGCCACGTTGCAAAACCTGACTGATAGAGTTCAGTCTGCACCAAAGAAAGGACTAGACACATCACACTAGTTACTAGTGTCCAATCAAAATACCCACTACAGTCCTACAGGAGGTCAATTGCGACCCCGAATAGCTCAGTGGTAAGGTATCTGACTGCAGTTGGCACTGAGTGATGCGGGTTCGAATCTCAGAAGGGACACGAGTTCCTTTAAGGTTGCAGATACGTCTTGCTGATGAGTGCCAACTAGCACGAAGCCTAGGTCGAAGGCTTCCTGTGGCCGATTGCCTCCAACTATCTAATATCACTAAATATAAAAGTTTGCCACGTACTTGTTTTCCCACCTCCATATCTCTCATTTTCTGTCTTCTTTCAGTTGAGTGAATTTTCCCAGTATGAAATCAATGTACCTGATTGTGTGTACTGAATTTGGTGTGTGCTTCAGGTGCTCCAGTTCATATATTCACCAAAGGTTATAAATACCACAAGTATTCATATCTTCCTCTTTGAAATGGATTTTGAGGTATGCTACTAGAGATTACAATACTTTGATCTATAGTATTTTGTATAACTTTAATCAAGTAACTTATAACTGTGGTTTTAAGCATGGTCGATTGGACTACCTTCGACTTTGTATGACTTGGAGCTATTCCATCGGGTAATGCAGTGACAAGTCGTTTGACGACAAACCGCCGGAAAACCGTGCGTGCGGAGCAGGAAGTGATGAATACATTGGACAGGTGAGGAACCTGTAGAAGATCTGAACTTTGCGGACTATTTGTGTCTAATGTTATAGAAACTTGGAGATTTACAAGCGGAAACCAACAAGTCAGCAGAAGAAGCACCAAATACCTCACTTCAAGTGAACATAGGGAAAGCGGAGCTAATGAAGACAGTTACCGAACAACAACAACAGGCACCAATCATTATAAACGGGAGTAATTTAAAGATGGTATCTGCTTCTCTATCTAGGCAACATAGTTTCAAATACAGACACGCTGCAGGGACAAGAATGTCGAAAACAGAATTAGAAAGGCAAATCAGACCCTCACCACTCTGAAATCAATTTGAAAATCTTTCGCAAAGAACAAGATCCGGAACTTCAACACCAGTGTTGCGTAATCCCTTCTGTATGTCTCAGAAACTTTGCGGTTCACTCAAAGCATCTCCAGACTTTCATCGACATCTGACTTTGCTGGCTCCATACCGAAGATCAGATGGCCAGAAAGGAGCATCAACGAGAAATTCTGGGAACGACCCAACAGCCGAATATGTTGCTCAACAAACATGCCGAAGAAAATTAGAGATGGGTTGGATACACAGTGAGGAGACCGTCGAGTGACATCCCGTGACAAGTATACCCTTGAGTGGAACCTAAATGGGAAGCGACAACCTGGGCGTTGGCCCGAAGATGACATGGAGGCGATTGTGTAGGGATGATATGAAGGCCTGTGGGTAATCGTGGAGCCAGATGGAGAGGATAAGACAAAATAGAAATGTGATGTTGGGGTCTCCTTATGTTTTACTAGGAGCCCAAGGGAAATAATAGTAATATACTCTCTGGTTATGTTAATAAATGCCTCATCTTATGCCTCCTATTCTTTGCTACTTAATTACTTACTTAAACAAGTTGGTAATCGATAGATAAATCAATGATTACAATAAATACTTTTGTAAGTAGATTTAGACACACTAAATTCGTTATTGTGTCAAAATTATATAATGCAGGAGCAGTCTGTGCAGTATAATCATAATGTTTCATATTGTAGTGAAATTAACAATAAAGTAGAAACGACAACAACACATAATACGCCATTATGTTGGATAAAAGATAATGTCGATAACATAAAAAATGAACGACTGTCTGAAAATATTAAAATCATGGAGAATTTACAAAACACCTTTAATAATAATAATTCTGAGTACTGTGAATGTGATTGTAGTCGAGTGGAAAAACTGGAATCATCTTTAACCAGTCATGTTGTTACATTCCCCAAATGTAAACATAATAAACAAAAGCTTGATATACTGAAACCGAATGATTATTTGAACTTTGCATATGAACGTATGGACAGTGATATTTCCAAGCAGAAATCTGATAAGGATAGACCGATTTCTAATCAAATAAATGACCAGGTTCATTTAACAGAAACACGAGAATGTTATGATACAGTCAACGAAATTCCTGATGGAAATTCAATAGGAAGAATTAAAGATGACGAAAACATTCAACTTTCAAGTGCTGTGTTAAACAGCAAAACTAACAACATTGACAAAAGTAATAACCTATGCAAATCAGAACAGGCCTACACGAATCAACACGATAAGAATGCCAAAAAACCACAGATTAAGAGTCAAATACAAAGACACCCGATTAAATTATGCTCAAAGTCGGAAAGTAGCGTAGAACGAACCCAAAACTGCCACCAGAAGACCACCATAAAACCCGCACAAATCTCCTATGAAAAACAAAACGACAAAAACACCACAAAAATAAATAATCTAAGATGCAACGTGAAGACGTACTATTCAACATTCGGTGGTTGCACGACATACAAAGCAGATTTCCGTGGGACTCCAGAGAAGAGAGTTGAGCCGGTGAAGAAGCCAGACAATCTGAAGGTGTTTGACGGTGCTTTTGATAATTGTACAAACTATCGTACAGATTATCGTGGAGCGGATGAGGGTCGTCCGAGTCCGATAAAGATGGTGGACAACTTGAAGACGTCTGGTGATCGATTCGATAGTTGTACGATGTACAGAACAGATTTCCGTGGGACTCCAGAGAAGAGAGTTGAGCCGGTGAAGAAGCCAGACAATCTGAAGGTGTTTGACGGTGCTTTTGATAATTGTACAAACTATCGTACAGATTATCGTGGAGCGGATGAGGGTCGTCCGAGTCCGATAAAGATGGTGGACAACTTGAAGACGTCTGGTGATCGATTCGATAGTTGTACGATGTACAGAACAGATTTCCGTGGGACTCCAGAGAAGAGAGTTGAGCCGGTGAAGAAGCCAGACAATCTGAAGGTGTTTGACGGTGCTTTTGATAATTGTACAAACTATCGTACAGATTATCGTGGAGCGGATGAGGGTCGTCCGAGTCCGATAAAGATGGTGGACAACTTGAAGACGTCTGGTGATCGATTCGATAGTTGTACGATGTACAGAACAGATTTCCGTGGGACTCCAGAGAAGAGAGTTGAGCCGGTGAAGAAGCCAGACAATCTGAAGGTGTTTGACGGTGCTTTTGATAATTGTACAAACTATCGTACAGATTATCGTGGAGCGGATGAGGGTCGTCCGAGTCCGATAAAGATGGTGGACAACTTGAAGACGTCTGGTGATCGATTCGATAGTTGTACGATGTACAGAACAGATTTCCGTGGGACTCCAGAGAAGAGAGTTGAGCCGGTGAAGAAGCCAGACAATCTGAAGGTGTTTGACGGTGCTTTTGATAATTGTACAAACTATCGTACAGATTATCGTGGAGCGGATGAGGGTCGTCCGAGTCCGATAAAGATGGTGGACAACTTGAAGACGTCTGGTGATCGGTTCGATAGTTGTACGATGTACAGAACAGATTTCCGTGGGACTCCAGAGAAGAGAGTTGAGCCGGTGAAGAAGCCAGACAATCTGAAGGTGTTTGACGGTGCTTTTGATAATTGTACAAACTATCGTACAGATTATCGTGGAGCGGATGAGGGTCGTCCGAGTCCGATAAAGATGGTGGACAACTTGAAGACGTCTGGTGATCGATTCGATAGTTGTACGATGTACAGAGCAGATTTCCGTGGGACTCCAGAGAAGAGAGTTGAGCCGGTGAAGAAGCCAGACAATCTGAAGGTGTTTGACGGTGCTTTTGATAATTGTACAAACTATCGTACAGATTATCGTGGAGCGGATGAGCGTCGTCCGAGTCCGATAAAGATGGTGGACAACTTGAAGACGTCTGGTGATCGATTCGATAGTTGTACGATGTACAGAACAGATTTCCGTGGGACTCCAGAGAAGAGAGTTGAGCCGGTGAAGAAGCCAGACAATCTGAAGGTGTTTGACGGTGCTTTTGATAATTGTACAAACTATCGTACAGATTATCGTGGAGCGGATGAGGGTCGTCCGAGTCCGATAAAGATGGTGGACAACTTGAAGACGTCTGGTGATCGATTCGATAGTTGTACGATGTACAGAGCAGATTTCCGTGGGACTCCAGAGAAGAGAGTTGAGCCGGTGAAGAAGCCAGACAATCTGAAGGTGTTTGACGGTGCTTTTGATAATTGTACAAACTATCGTACAGATTATCGTGGAGCGGATGAGGGTCGTCCGAGTCCGATAAAGATGGTGGACAACTTGAAGACGTCTGGTGATCGATTCGATAGTTGTACGATGTACAGAGCAGATTTCCGTGGGACTCCAGAGAAGAGAGTTGAGCCGGTGAAGAAGCCAGACAATCTGAAGGTGTTTGACGGTGCTTTTGATAATTGTACAAACTATCGTACAGATTATCGTGGAGCGGATGAGGGTCGTCCGAGTCCGATAAAGATGGTGGACAACTTGAAGACGTCTGGTGATCGGTTCGATAGTTGTACGATGTACAGAACAGATTTCCGTGGGACTCCAGAGAAGAGAGTTGAGCCGGTGAAGAAGCCAGACAATCTGAAGGTGTTTGACGGTGCTTTTGATAATTGTACAAACTATCGTACAGATTATCGTGGAGCGGATGAGGGTCGTCCGAGTCCGATAAAGATGGTGGACAACTTGAAGACGTCTGGTGATCGATTCGATAGTTGTACGATGTACAGAACAGATTTCCGTGGGACTCCAGAGAAGAGAGTTGAGCCGGTGAAGAAGCCAGACAATCTGAAGGTGTTTGACGGTGCTTTTGATAATTGTACAAACTATCGTACAGATTATCGTGGAGCGGATGAGGGTCGTCCGAGTCCGATAAAGATGGTGGACAACTTGAAGACGTCTGGTGATCGGTTCGATAGTTGTACGATGTACAGAACAGATTTCCGTGGGACTCCAGAGAAGAGAGTTGAGCCGGTGAAGAAGCCAGACAATCTGAAGGTGTTTGACGGTGCTTTTGATAATTGTACAAACTATCGTACAGATTATCGTGGAGCGGATGAGGGTCGTCCGAGTCCGATAAAGATGGTGGACAACTTGAAGACGTCTGGTGATCGATTCGATAGTTGTACGATGTACAGAACAGATTTCCGTGGGACTCCAGAGAAGAGAGTTGAGCCGGTGAAGAAGCCAGACAATCTGAAGGTGTTTGACGGTGCTTTTGATAATTGTACGAACTATCGAAGAGAATTTCCTGCAAGAGATGTCGTACGTGTTTCTCCTGTTAAGTTGACGGATAATCTTTTAACATATAGTGGTCTGTGTGGTTATGGGTGTGTTCGCCACAGTGATTGTAATGGCTGTGCAAATGGATTAGCGGATACATCGCGCAATTCGTCGCTTTGTTGCTGTACATCTGGTGGACCTACTGGAAATCAACTGTTTCTTGGCGTCGATGATCCATGTTATTTTAAAGAGAAGACAACATATCGTGTTGAATTCCGGAAACCTACTATTAATAGGCGAAGTCTGCGGAAACCTCGTGACAACTTGTTTGTATGTAGTTGCCGTTGCTGTAACAAAGTACTATGCTCTCCATGTTCTTGTTCTCAAGTGGATTTCAGGAATATAAATAGTGTTGATGGATGTTTAGTGTCTTTATCAGCATAATAATAATAAGAACATGAATTTTTAGAAAGTGGAAATCCGCTTATATCGGAGATATAAACTGGTCTACGCTTATTTCTGTGTCAATAAATCTAATTCAAACTGTACTAGATTTCAACCTCACATATATATATATATATATATATATATATGTATACGTATATATTGTATTCCTTTGCTTTATTGTTTTTTTTTTGTCTAATGCTAAAACTGTAAAGTTCAGAGACTTTTTGTCCAGATTAGCCATTTACTTTTGCCTGGTTTGCATTCAGTTCGCTCAATATTTATTATCAATACTAGCAGTAATAATACTTATAAAATATTCATTTATTCCTTAGAGGACATGTATCAATTTAACAGATATGAAAGTTGTTTTACTGCAGATGACATCATTGGGATTCGGAAGGTAGCACCTTCTTGAGATTTCTCTTGTTACTAGATTCGATTTCAGTAATGGGTGTTAATGCGCTAAATATGTCACAAGATCGAGGAAAAGTAAATTTAGAAGGATTAACTTCACATTAACAGAAAAACAAACAGACAGGTTTATAGGGCATGTAATACATATTCCTGGGTAAAAATAAAACATTTAGGTCGTTATTTCTATAAATTTTCGTAATGTTTATGCATGTGTGGAACTTGGGCAGAGAGATAAAATATACTTCCATATTAATTAAATTTATCTGGTGTAACTGGATGACGTGTCGAGGAGAATACATTGCTCATAATCATATTGTGCCATGTGCAACTGATAAGACTTATCACTTACAGTTGGTGTTGTTGCCTCTATACAGTGAAGATCCCATGGATCGCTGCTTCCGAGGAAGGAGACATATGGAGCTTCTTGCGGGCCTTTGAGACCGTCTCAAAGCTAGCGTATGACAGTGTGGAACGGTCAGATGAGAAGGAGACCTGGGAGGTATTGGTTAAACGATCGGTGGCAGAGTTCAACAGCCCGACGGGCAAGTAGCTGGTGATGTAGCAGTTTCCTGCACGAAGCTGATGAATTTTCTGCGTCGTGCATTCCCCACATTGGATGAAGAGTTGGAATTGCGACTGTCAGCGTCCCAGCTCATTGAGAGTGCCTCAGACCACATTTCTCAACAACTAAAACTGGTTAACGCTAAGCACAACCCATAGACATCACTGAGCTAGCGTAGGTGATTAGAAAGCTGTTGAGTACAACGGTAGCCTGAACAGAGCCTCAGAAATTATGTACATGTTATCTTCAGCGCACCAATTGCACTGATATTACGTGTTGTGCTATTTCTGGCCTTTATATTGTGTTTCTTTGTGTTCCTTCCGCGTCTCGCATGTATCTCCGCAACGCCGTATCATAAATCTTATCAGTAGCACACGCCACAATATCCCTGTGTTCACATGGCTTCAAACTTTTTCTCTCTCTCCCCTTGTTATTCATTGCAATTTTCAATATATCAGGTATAGGCGTTGCGTCATTTTGATTGCACGTGTGTGTGTGTATGGTGTTGATTCTATGAACACATATTCAGTGATTAACCTCTCCCTCACTCCACCTAACTATACTCTATTACTTATTTAACTTATCGGGGTCAATCATTCTAGCCTTAGCTAAATTCTTATGTTTTAATAACTTGGTTCAATCTATGTGGTAATATTTGGTAAATTGTATTTATTCTTTAAAAGTGAATCTATTGGATTCTTAAGCCGACAAAAGTTGCCTTTGGGTTGGTTGGTTTAAATGTCACACTAATTCGAGGTTCTGATGTTCCTTCTTTACAAGGCAGTACTATCGAGGCTTTACATTCCTTAATTTAATAATTCCCATTGTAGCATTAAGAACACAATATTTAGCGAAGAGACTCTTTTCAACGACGAATTTATTATCAAGCTGTACAATCGTATATATATGGTTTTTAAGAAATTGTATCCAGGGAGGGAATTAGGTCAAAGGTGTGAATACATGAAATGATAATAATAGTATGAAATGCAATTGAAATATTAGTGATTATAATCATAGTTAAATGTCAAGTAGCAAAACAATTAATGTCATATATAGAATAATTCATAAGGTGCATAGATATTGCAAAGGGGTGCATAATTATAGGATTAGTAGGCGAATATAAAGTGTTACATAATATGGTGTGAAATTTGATATCATAGAATTCAATATTGTAAGAACAAAAAATTATAATTTTGGATTTCGAATGACAAATGGGACAAGCGGATTCAATTCAGAGTGAGAATAGTAATAATAATAATTGTAGTAATAAGGGAAAGCTACATAAAACAACTAAATAAACAATAGGGTTTGTACACACTACTTTTGTACGCAAAGGTCTGGCTTAGAGTCCAGAATTTCCAAGGCCTCCGCTGTCTTTCGAAGTCTGTGGGGAAGAAAACGCGGGAAGTTAGCATGGATTCAGTAGATGATCTTAATGCTTACTTTCCTGCTCTGATGTTCTTTTGTGTCCACATACATTTTTGAATAAAATCTGGTGGGTGCGTCGGTGGCACAATGATTAGGACTCTCGCCAACCATGCAAATGGTCCGGGGCTCTATCACCTGCCGACACACACCTGATATCTATGGTCGGCCTGCGAAATTTGGGCCACCGATATCACATGTTGAAATTTCCATACCTGTACCAAAAATACGGTGTGGAATCAAGCTGAAATCAAAAAATATTTTTGAATAAGGCATTTAGAAGACAAATTTCGCGAGGTGATATCATTTCATAGTTTCTTTACAACTGCTTTACAACTAACATGGTTAACAATAATAAAATAAAGTTCATAACAATTACTCAGTTAAATAAAAAAAAGTACATACTAATGACCAATCATACTTAAATGGGTCATGTAGTCCATGGTAGGCGAAGATTGAAGTCCACTGTTTTTTGTACACACAGTTTAAGCTGTATGTGATTAATCCAAAGTACTTCCATCACCTTCAATAACCTTGACTTAGAGTTATGTGGTGAAATAATTGTGAAACAGTCATTAATATTGATTTTGTGACCTGGCATTAATAAGTGTTTTGCAATGGATGATGCTGGATTTTGTATTAAGATTAATCGCATTGGGATTTTCGATATGATTTAGTAGCCATTTTGGGACATGTTCTTTTCGACGACATTGGAACATTCTGTTGGTTCTATCTATATAGGTGTCACCGCAGCTGCAGGTGAACTTGTAGATACAGTTTGAAGTAGAGTCCACAGAATTTCGTCCTTTAATCGTAGGAACAGGGATCGAAAATGTTCGGCAAGTGAGAAAAAGAGATGCGGTGTAGAATGTGCGTTTGATGGCTGATCAAAGTCTTTGAGTTGTCAACTGCATAATCTGGTCGCCCTTGAATGGTAGATTAATAAAGATGGCTTTCTTTGGTACAGAAGCTGTCTTTTCGAGATGTGGTTTTTCTTTACTGTGACAAGTGATTAAGTTTTCCGGATAACCATTAACTAATAAAACTGAATGTACATGTCGAAGCTCATCCATCACTGTGTCACTCGTGCATATTTTTCGGGCCCCCGAGAACAAACATTTCACTAGCGAACGTTTGAACTGGATAGGAACAAAACTGGTAAAATGAAGACATTGTCCACTTCATGTCTGTTTCCGAAAAATAGATAGCTGAATCGTTCCATCATCTCTCCTGGTCATTGTAATATCAAGGAAACCAAGTTTTTTATTCGATACGAGTTCGGAAGTCACTCGGATATTTGGATGAATATGATTAAATAGGGTAATAAAGTTTTCAATAGATTTACTATTATTACCAATAATGAGAGTATCATCTACATAACGTTTATATAGCATAAATTCTCCAAGCATAGCTTGCATTTGTTTTTCTAATTTCGGTTGTAAACAAACTACGAAATGATATCATTTCGCGAAGTTTGTCTTCTAAATGCCCTATTCAAATTTATCAAAGAGACTAATTGTTTTAATTAATATTTTTATTTATTTGCTTGATTTCATTATTTAAATCTTCTAACTCACTAGTTATGCATGTGGCCCGACGATACAGACATTTAACAGAAATCTACCTTTACCGATTGCAGTTGTGATGAATTAAAGCGTCTAAGCATTTTCTTTTTAGAATATATCAGTCTATTGTAAATGCTAGCATCTTGTTTTCGGCCTTTCTTCAGCTGCCAACAGCGAAAAAAATCACACACATGATTATAAATGCAAATATTATAATATACTTGAAAACTATTTCAACTCAAAGGATATTCAATAATTCACTTAGCATAGTGATGGAACAAGAATTATTAAAACAAAACAGTTAGTAGTCAATCGAGCAGAGGTTGTAACGAAACAATGGGCAGAATCAGAGAGATGAAGAGGGAGAAGCTCAAAATAGGAAATAAATTTTAGTGGATTTTCAAAATTACGTAAACAAGCTTTTTTGAATAAGTAAGTGATTAATGCATGTTTGAACACAGAAAATTTGAATGCAGGCAGAGGTGCGAACAAATAGCGTTTCATGTTTATGCACATCTCTGTCTGAACTTCATCGACTTTGAAAAAGCCTTCGACACCGCAGCGTCGATCGACAGGTGGTTTGGAAACTACTTCGCTACTGCAGGGTGCCTCCAACAAATATACGTCTCATCCAACATCTGTACAACAATGCCCAATACCGAGTAATCTACAAAGAGAAACTCACGGAATCCTTCGAAGAAGTGAAGACGGGAGTAAGATAAGGCTAGCTAGCCGGCTGACTGGCTGGCTGCCTACTATCTCCAATGATTTTCGTGATTGTGGTAGACTGGATAATGCGACAGACAGCCCTGAGCAGGGAGGACACAGGCATAAAATGGACCCACACAAAATGCTTGGAGGATGTGGACTCCACCGATGTGATCTATGTCTGGTTTGCCACAAAGTGGAAGATATGCGAGTGAAAAGCAGCAACAAGTTGTCAGAAGAAGTATCCAGAGAAGATGGGATTTCAGGTGAACATAGAGAAAGCAGAGGTGGTGATGGTGAAGATTCCTGGCCAACACCAACAGCAACAACAACAAACAACAATCTGCATAAATGGGAGGAACCTGAAAGAAACAACCTCCTTTACCTACCTGGTAAACATCGTTTCAACTACACGCCGAACTGATGAGAATATCAAGGCGAGGATTGTCAAAGCAAGGCAAGCTTTCATTACTCTCAAGTCTGTGTGGACGGAGGTCAGCAGCACTCAGCATGTAAAATAACACGCGGATTTTCAACTCCAATGTGAAATCAGTGCTACTTTACGGATCAGAGACTTGCACTGCGTGTCATAAAGAGCATCTCAAACAAACTTCAGACCTTCATTAACAGTTGTCTTCGCTCAGTACTCAAGAACGGATTGTGCAACAAATTAGCAGGAAGAAATGGAGATGGATTCGCTATACTCTGAGGAAACCATCAAGTGACATCACTAGACAAGCCATTGCTCGAGTGGAACCCGGGAGGGAAGCGGCGAGTTAGCCATCCAAGGGTGACTTGTAGGAGGTCATGTGAAGAGGAGATAAAAGCATGTGGGCAGACTTGGGGCGGGGTGAAATAGTTGGCAGAAAACCGACGGCAATGGAGACGCGCGACTGAAGCCCTATGTTCCTCTAGGAATTGAAGGAAATAATTATAATAATAATGAAAATTAACTATATTCTTACGCTGTCATGCGACAGAGTTAATACAGGAGTGAGTGACAGTTAACGATTTCCGATATTTGAGACTTCTTTCTCAGTTTTTATTCAATTTCGAGGCAGCCGTCATATGCGATTGATTTAAAAGCGAAGTTAGCAATGTACACTGAACGCTTCATGTACATACTGTAATTTGGCCTAATTTCTTCTCTGGCCTAATAGCGATATTGAGGAAGACCTGGAAATTTTTGTTTAGCAATTTTTTTTGTTGCTTAACCCTATACCTCAGGAAACTTCATCGCATTTTATAATTAGCTCCTGTCATTCAATACTGACCAACAGACCGACTTCAGTAAGTCAATACTTTTGTTGACGCTCCAAAGAAATCACAATAAACTTAAATGTACAGGGAAAAGAAGAATTACATAAAGAAAAAACGAGTGTTGATTTGGTTCATACACCTGCTGCATTGGGATCAGTTTTGAGCCATGTCAGTAACAGCCTCCGAGTATTGATTCCTAATGTATCAGGAACCCTGTTCATGCAGTCAGCAACTCCCTACTTGACTCATATGAGCATGACATCATGAATTGCTTCGCCATGGTAATTGGACTGAAAATTTGACGGAATATCAGATAGTGTATAATACAAAGTTATACTACCCACATACTTCTACTCGTCTGCTTTCTATTGATGACGAACTTTATAAGTGTTCTTCATAAACGAAGTTTATTCAGCAACAAGTTTCGTATTTTTCTCCCTACGTTTTTATACTTTAAGTTTTTTTACTACTATTCATTACTTAGTAGTATAACAAACTTGCTAGTTATTTTCTAGGCGGTTTATTTGTTGCCTTCTGTGAGCAGCTTTTGTCGTTGCTGAAGATGTTGTCCGGAAGGACGATGAATGCTTTGCAATGAAATCAACCAGCTCAGGGAATACAGCTAATTTAACATCAGCTACCTGTGATACAAATCTTGTCCATTAATTGTTTTTTATCACACTAGCTCTTCTGCCGTCTACATAATGCACTGTGGACCCTACCTTTTGGCGTTTACTGCCGTATATTTCATCCCGCTTTATTCATCTACACACTGTCTGTCAATGCTTATAATAAATGGGACCTGGAAACTATGGATAAGGAAAGTTATGTCTTGGAATTATTAGGCTACTCTACTGGAGTCTATACAGCTTTGCAAGGGCTTGCATTATTGATAATGGTTTCTTTCGAATCTTTTTCTCTTTATTCTTTGTGTCATATGGAGTGTGAAAATTCGGACGTTTGCACTTTTCTGCTGAGTTCTACGTTGAATATTCAGTCAGTCGGTGATGTGATGGGGAGTTTGAGAGGTAAACTCATTCTTACATAATTTTATTTTAGATTCACTGTTGGAAACGGAACTTTTTATTCCAGCTTCCCGTCATTCTTAGCTCCGGAAATAAAAGTTGGTGTTGAGAAAAAAAAATTTAAGTTCCTCTGTCTATTTCTTACATGTCGGCCCCGTCTTCTGCATATAGTTGAAGCTGTTGGAATTCACCTGAAGCAGCCAAAATTATGCGTTCAGACAACGAACAATTTAGTTCAGATGCCTTTCCTTACCTTGGTCTTCATTACATAATCGTAAAAGCCTAACAGTTTCCCTCTCTCCGCACAAGTGTTTTGCAAGTTAATGTTGATTCAGTTATCTTTAAATGCTTTACTGATCTCCCTAACTTTATCTGATAATCAATTTATTATTATTATGATTATTACGAATATATTTTTATGCATGCTATCACCTCCACATGCTTTTAAAATGTGATCTCTTGGTCGTAATAGCTCGATAATATTCGAAAAAACACCATTGTTGTCAATACTAATTACTGTATAAATATTTTGTATATATATATATATATATATAGTTGTCTAACCAAATGAGGAAGTTATCAAATAGAATATCTTTTGCACTACCTGTTTGTCTCTGAAATAACTGTCACTTCATCCGAATATAAACTAGTAGATAGTATCGTATAGTAAAGAGATGCACCATCTCTTGAACTTACTGAGATATTTTTCAGCATATATCTTTCTACCAGTATTTTTACCCTTGAGAACATGGAGTAATGTAGTGTTAAAATTGGTCAAAAGAGCGTCAGTTATAATGGGTTGGTCAGTAGAAAAGATTTTAAAATTTCCCCAGCTAAGGTGATTCAGACTTCTACTGTGATTGTAGACATTGGTGCAGTTTCATTGTGCTACATTAATTTAAAAAAACAAACAAACCATACTCTTATCATCATTTGTGCTTCTTTCCGGGTTCCTTCATCGAGGATATTCCTCGGTATATTACTTAAAGGGCTAGAAACACACAACAATGAGTGAATTTATAATTATGCAAGATTTGACGATCTTATTTCAAACTTGCATCACACTTCCATACTGCTTAAAAAAATATACATCTTAAGTGCAGGATTTCCACGTGGTATTTGTGTGATAGTTTTTGGTCTCCAGCAAAGACTATTTAGGTTTCTTGATTAGCATTCAGTGACTCAGGATACTTTTACAACGATGTTTATACCTTCTTAGGTTATTCTTCTCTAATATATGACATTTTGCAGCTCCTTATATTATTGTTTATTGAAATCGAACTCATCTTGTGTCTTCATCAGTACTACCTGACTGGCCTACACTAGTGGTTCATGTGAGTGGCGTCCAGCTATCCACATTAGTGAGTCATGTATGAGATTATCACTGCTCTACCTTGGTTATCTTCACTTGGTCAGGCAATTAGTTATGCTATGACGGCAGAAGGCAAGAGAATTCAATGACGGAATTATTTATTTGCAACTTGATACACAGATATAAACGAAATACGTCTACCGTAGAGCAGAACTACAATTTGCATTCATCGTCGGTATAATTCCTCTTTGTCTTCCTTTCATGTTTTCCATGCTGTTTCTCAAGCATACTTTATCAAATCCATCTCTGTGTCATTCGATATTCTTCACTCTGGTATCCTTTGTACAACTGCATATATATATTATTACTCATAAATCTTGTCAGTAGTGCTAGCCACAATATCATAACTTAAATGATCAGTAAGGTGTATGTAAGAGACTTTCTCAACTGCATTCTGTTCACTAAGCGTTCAGATAGGTTTAATCAGAGTGAACCGACCCTATAATGCCATAAATATACAAGTAATAGGTTATCGATTTTTTCATTTGGTCGATACTCGTGTAGTCTACATTTAAAAAATAATAGTAAAGCCTTCAGCTCACAAAGCAGTGTGTTCACATTTACGTTGTATAAGTAATAACAGTAACACGTATTAATTACTTTAACCATCTAATCATTTCTATTTTGTAACAAGAAGTAACAATGATGAGAAAAGGCTGTCGATGTTGTTGTAAATCAAGAGATACAGATGAAAGATTGTACAATACAACAAGTTATCGAGCATTCTACTGTGGACCAAGTCACAAAAGTAAATTAAGAGATGATTCATTTGAACAGTCTGTTGAACAGAATGCCCAAGACAATTCACCTAATGCGAATACATCAAACTGTCAAAATGTTGAGGAGAGACAATGTTATCAGCGAATCAATAGTGCTCAACAAAATCATGATCATACGAATACAAATAAAGACTTATCAATGTACACTAGTCGATATCAAAGTGACTACCAGATTAAGCACACCACGCCTCCACGAATGATTAAACCAAAAGATAATCTAGTTGTTGGAAGATTTCAAATGGATGGGACATTTCTAAAATGTTATTGTGCTTCGTGATATTTACTATAACCAGTAAAAACTATAGACATGAACAGCTAATTTAATGTATACAAAAGTACTGACCATAGTAATACAACCACAGTTACAGTGAACAATATTTTTGTAGACAATATCCTTATCTCTAGTGAATTCTGTCGTAATTCTGTTGTCATTATTGCATTTCAGACAACAGGCTAGTTTTCTATCGTGTTGACTTCCACTTATCTACCTGAGTATAACATCGCAGAGTTTTAAGTTTTCGTTCTATTCTGCTTTTACTTTCCATCCTCCTGAGATTCATATCTGTACGATAAGCTTAAAGTATCTCATTCTCAATTACAATTTATCAAAAGTCAAATTTATGATATGTTGTTTTTACTGGCGTTCCAGTTTTACCCAGTTCAACACTGCAGCCATGGGGACATCTTTAAATATGATCTACAGCCGAACATTGCTAGGCAGTGTATCTATTCAACTTTGTTTGTTGACACATGGCTTAGCTTTCCATGTGATAAAAGTCAAGCGATGCTGAAGAGTTGTTCTGCACTGACTTCTATTTTAAAGAATCTGATGACCACATCAATTACAGGAACCATTGCATCAATCCTAATAAAGTGAATGCTATCGAAATCGTAGCGTGTTTTCAAATGACTTAGTTCGGTGCCTGCCGACTTGTGTCATCTTTAGTATCGAGACGATACCGGTTATTCATCAAAGGATGCGTAAATACTGTGAAGCGGTTGCCCCCATTCTACTTCACCAATTTAAAACGTTGCCGTCAAAAGTAGAAGGTAAGAACAAATACGCTATTTATTGGTATAGGTGCTTGCATTCGGTCTCCAGTGTTACTTGTTGCAGCATCGTCAATAATAGTGAGGCTAGCTTTAGATTACTGGGTAACAGGGGAAATGCAGTGTATGAGGTTGTGAGTTTCCATTGACTGAGATGACTAGGATATGTGTTACATACTTCGAGGCTGACTAACAGTCACTGACCTTTGATTTTTGCATGAAGGTAATTAGTGTTTATGGTGATGAGAAGTACCTGCTTATTCGCATAGTTGTCTGGAAGAATACTTTGGTGTCTGCAAAATATTTCGACAAAAAAAACAGACACCATATCTTAGCATAACGGTAAAGTTGTTCTCTTCGTCTGTAAGAGAACTATGAGGTATAGACTGGTCAACAAAATTTAAAATCAGGAAGCAGGTGCATAAGTCGGTGTTAAGTTACACTCTCTTATTGAAGGATATTCACTAGGGGAAAACATTTAGGCCTACATGACATATTTGATGTTATTCACCTCCTTTCAGAAATAAACATTTCTGCGTGCATTACGGCAAACTGATAAAGGCTAAAGTGCATATATGCATAACTCTATATTCAAACATAATTGTGAAGTGGTATCATCAATTAAAGTATAATTATATTTTTTTGTGAACACGGGCAGTAATTTTGCTCGAAATATTACCAATAACAAAACTTATCATTGTGTGTAAACTATTAAAATATAATTATACTTTATTTGATCTAATCCCCAATGCTCAAACTTTTTACTAATATTAAGGTATCATCAATGTTCTGTGTCTGTTTTAATTCAGTGATTTGACTAATTTGATATCTGTACTGTTTTACGCTATCAGTCACGAAATGACAAGAGCTGAAAAAAAACAGGTCTCATGGGATTCCAGTTCACAGACTGAACAGTAATAAGTTCTGCTTGAGATAACAGAGAATTTCTAAAGGAGTAGACACTAGAATAGAACACATTTCCAGTGATTTGTGATCCTCAACACCTTGCCTACTGATAAACGACTACTGTGATGTTTAATTGGCGGTTCGTTTGTTCTACTCTTTTTTGTGTTGCACTACTTCATTCGTCTCTTAAAAAGCTGCACACCCGAATATATTGGTGATAAAGTCTCTGACTGATTCATTTGCAGACTAGTGCTGATAAGCATTCAATCCAGGTTGGTCAAGCTCTCATACTGACTAATTACACATATTTTGTTGGGCGGTCGGCTCTTGGTTGGTTTGTTCCCAGCCAGAGCTTCTTCCCACTAATTCTTTCTGGCCGGTCAGAGAAGGTGGTAGCTATTGATAAAAGTCTTCAGTGGCGTGTTGGAAATCCTTTCCGTGACACTCAGTGCAAGTTTCTGACCTGTATGGAAGAGATGACTGATTGACTTCATTGACATTTGTGTTGAAAATCCGATTCTCGTTCTTCATACTGAAACGGAGTACAGAAGCTTTCCAAACTGGTTTCAAGTTGATGAAGGCGCGCGTATCTTGCCTTTCCGATTCTGGCTGGCTGGCTGGTTGACTTTGACATCTTCATCTGTTCCGACTGACTGTGCGTGGAACGATTCTTTCTGGTTGGATAAGTGAAGGAGGTAGCCTCATTCCGTATCTTTTCCGTTGATGGTGATTGGTTATGGTTGTTGTTTTTGTTGCTGTTGGTTGTCTGGTTATCATCATCACCTTTGTCTTGTTTATGTTCACCTGGATGGCGGGCGTCCTGTCTTTGCTGACTGCCTGGTTCTTAAGCCAGTTTGTTGTTTTTCGCCTGCCTGCAAGTTTTCGAGTTTGTGTGACATTAAATGTAAATCACCTATGCGCAAAATTCAGATCTTCTGGAGTCCAGCGTATCTCTGTTTCCTCACTCCCAAGTCCAGCCTGACGCATAATCCAGTCCACCACAATTTGAATATCATCGGTGATAATATGCAGCCAGCCAGTTAGCATATCTTACTCCTGTGATCACTTCGAACATCTCGCTGAGTGAGTTTACCGTTGTGGATCACCTGACTGACATGTAACAGGCATTGTCATATAGCCAACCAGCTGTTGGATGAGGTTGATAAAGACTGGGAACTACACGACATAGTGTTGAACTCACTTCCAAACGACCTCTTGGTCAAGGTTGTCTGGCAAATCCTTTTCGATGTCGATGAGATTAAGGTACAGGTTTAATTGGCGTGGACAGGATCATTGTTCCACGCCAGTCAGTTTTTGCAGATTGAGGCGTAAGTCGCCCTTGTTTGGTAACTTGACGAAGTAGCCGGCCTTTCTTCCAATCGTCAGGCACCTTTCTTCCCTTCATAAGCTTTAGCAACGAAGGAGTGAACTCATCGACCATAGTCTCTGGGTCCGTCTTCACTGCTTCCAGGGAGAATTCTGTCTGGTTATGATGCCTTGTCGGACGTATATATCCATATAACTTCTGTCTAAGTTCAATCACCATTGAAAAAATTACACCTCAAGGCACTAACGTCTGATTTTCTGCGTTGTTCTTTTCTCTGTAATACTTGCATTCGGTATTGTTCGTGCGCAAAAGCTGTATTGTTTACGATTAAATAAGGAATGCTAACGCTTCTTAAGAATTAAAAACCTGTTATGACAAGCAACAACCGCAACACAGATAATGCCCAATGAAAAATCTATTAATAAGCAGTCTGTTGTGCAACTGAGTGAATAAGTCAGGAAAATAAAAAATTAAAAAAAAGAAACATATATCCGAAAAATCTACACCACAAGAAATAAATTTAACACAGCAAGTTCACGAATTTAGAATTAATATCTCTATGCAAAATTCACTTGTTTAATCCTGTGAAATATGCGCCGGACACATATCGTTCGACATGTGAAGACAAGGACAAGCATTATAACAAAGTGTTGAGGGTGTTACTACCATACCTGGTTTAAGCGTATTTTGACACACTAACGCATGTGCACAATTTCTGCATACTGGGTCTTGTTGATTACCGCTGCATCCTGAATGACTTGTTGATAAGTTTGAACAGCATACTGGTTGACAACGGTTCAATGAACACATTGTTTGTTGCATTGGACAGTATGATGGAATTGGTGCAAGTTTAGTTGTTTGAGTCACTTCACATAAACAATCTTTCCTAAATAAATCGAGATAACCACGATAGGCATCTTCTTGTTCTTGAAATTTGCTAGTAATACACACTGGATTTACTGTATACCGATAGGAGTTTCTCCTTCGAAGACTTCCACAATTACATGTTGAACAGTTAGAATGACAAGAACGCATAGAACTTTTACAATAATTTAGTGCACGTTTAACATTATCTGAATTTTGATCACAAGATATGTTTATTCGGCTATTACTTAACCAACTGGAGTCTTCATTGTGTGATTCATAACTTTTTGACATTCTATTATTTTATTCAAGACTTTGTTTATTATTAGAGTACAAGTGGCAGTTAGGCAGAACAAGCTTATAGAATGATGAAATCAATAAAGCATGAGATTCAAAAAGACTATTCATCGATCATCATCATTTGTTATATGTATTCCTCAGCGCTGTCAGCCACTTCTCAGGCATATTTATAGTGTTACTAGTTTTTTACACAGCAAGTGAGGCTGTTACTTCAGTTAAATGCAAGGAATTCACTTTCCATCATTTCATGACATAATAGCCTTGATACTCACAGCCGACGACAAGGCTAATTATGTGAATAACATCCATCATAATAAAAAAACACAGTAATAATGCCTCATACCGAAAACGGAAGATACCAAGGTGATCTGGGAATCTTGTCTTTTTCATGAGTCGATGAGTACAAACAGATGGAGCGCTCCATGAAGAGGGGAAGAGGCTAAAGCGTGCAAACACTTATGGACTATCTTCGAAGTCCTTCTCAGCAGTATTGAATTATTATTTTTTTAATGAAACTAGTAGGATGGAAGGTCCAAGTTAAGACTGAGAGCCAAGTGAAGTAAACCAGAGTATTCTGTACTATAGGCTGCATAACTTCTACTGAATTATTGGGAACAATTTAACAGTAATTTAATTAATTATTTATGTTATTTTCTCTTTCTTACTACCACAACGTTGATCTTCCAAGCAGCTTCCGAAATTCCTCATGCTTAGTAGTCTGAAATTTGTACACAATATGCCTATTACACCTAATAGTATAACATCACCATAAAGTATAAAGGATTAAAGTACTCAGCTGTTTAGAATTGTCTGGATAAGAGGAGGCAGTATGAGTTTTAAATTTGGAAAGATGGTTTCAGCATCGCCCCAGCAGTCTATAGCAAACCTGAGATGAATCAATTGAGAAAGGGTATATTTTTCTGCAAAAGATTTAGCTTGATAATCGTTTACGCAATCTATTTCTTATACACTTCTGCGTTCATCAAAGATTGAAAATCTATTCTAACCGATTTTGAAAGATCGTTTCACCCTTAAGCCTTGTATGTTCATTAGTTCAGTATTTTGTAACGAAGAACTGAGCATTTCGTGGCTATACTAATTCCGCTATCTAACTTTAGAAAACCTTTGGAATATGCTTTGTCATCAAAGGTCTTGTCAGTAGGAGAATTTTCGGACTGTGCTGTTCAGTGAGAAGGCTTGATGTTGATGGATCGTTAACTTGAGTAGGTAGACTACTGATCTTGTGACATTTATAGGCAAATGTTCTGAGCGAAGGTGAAGCGTGTCGTAGGCTGTACTCCTGTAAATCTTGGATCCTGCCTGCCGACGGGTTTGTATTATTAGCGCCATTAAACGAAAATGGCCTGAAATCATAGTGCACTGTGTGCACTATCCTAAACAGTTTCGAGAAAACAGTCACCACTTACTGCCACCATATTTACTTTGTGTTTGTGATCGGCAGCAGCGATTTTATGGCATATAGTTGTGTATAGTCATCCGGCAAAACTCTACTAACTTTATATTTGTTATTATGTCTTGGTAAAAAAGAGAAAGAGAGAAACTGATTTGCTGAGTACCTACCATCCTGATTAAATTTCTCCTCATAATTCGATTGATTATTCACGGGTTCGGTAAGTAAATATCTCTCTTGGTAGATTTTTCAGAATATAAAATTAAAAGCCGAGATTTCATACATATACTCTGTAAAATGTCGTGAAGGAAAACAGGCAGTTCCATACAAAATTCCTAGCCTTTATATATATATATATATATATATGTTCGTGTAATGCTATCGGATAAAATGCCCTCTTGAGTTTTTATTGTCCTAAAAATAATAGTCCATAAAGAAACAACACGAAATGTGTTTCCACCTGCTGACATAATAAATAATTTCGCTTTCAATCTTCGATAGTTAAATAATTAGAAATACAGCACACTGTGGTAGTAAAAGCGTTATACTTTAACTAGATACTAAGTAGTAACTGGCATCATGTGACTATTCCTTTGAACTGTTTTTATTAAAGGGTTGGCAGCAAGTTTCATGCTTGTTAGGGCTCATCAGTCAGCAAAGCACATCTAGAGTCTTGAAAGAACTCACGCCTCCGATAGTCGAATAACAACAATTTAGAGTGCATCATGATGGCCAGCCACCTAGAGTGGTGGTCATACAGTTCATTTTCCCCTAAACAAAAAACTAGTCGCATGGCACTAGTTACTATCTAATGTCCAATCAAGGCATTAAGTACAGTCTTACAGGATGATAACCGCGAACCCGAATAGCTCAATGGTAATGTCTCTGACTGCAGCACTGAGTGACACTGGTTCGAATCTTAGAAGGGGCATGAATTCCTTCAGAATTGTAGATATGCCATGCTAACTGGTGAGTTTCAACAAGTGTGAAACCTAAGTCAGACAGGGATTCCTGCAGACTACCTCCAACCATCTAATAAAAAACACATTATCCTTAGATATTCCTTTCACTGACTTAGTGAAATATACAGTTCACATCAGTTCTGGACTGCTGGTTGACGCCGAAGTATGTGCTGCCTCTAAATCCTCCCTGGTTTCCATCTGCTGACTCCAGCATCACCCAGTTGATTCCACAGATCAAGATTTTAAATTATTCCGCTATGCAACGGCACCGCAGCGATAATCATAATCCGAAGTTTATTCATAAGAATCCGTAACCAGACGTTACCTTAGTCAATCTTCAGTGATCAGAGAATGCATTCAGTTCAGTTGCTCAAAACAGGTTACCTGGGGCTAAAAACGACCGTTTGTGTTGCAATACAAATCAATGTGATCTTGCATTTCTGAGACAATATTAGACAAGTATTGGTTTTGTAGGGATTTTGTTTGAATTCGCAGAAGTTAGAATTCAAGGACCGTTGGATCGGGTCCCAGTGGTTCAATGGTCTACGAGCTCGCCTTGTAACCAGAAGGTCCTGGGTTCGAATCCCGGTGGGTGCGGTCTGTTGAAGAGTCCCAAACTAGGACGAAACAGCTGTCCAGTACTCGCAGGTTTTCCAGTGGTTCTCTAACTGATGTCAGCTCATGATTAAATCCTCCATGCAATATTAGACAATACCTGAAGACTACAGGCATGAGTGTAGACAATAAGGGCTTCCTACTGACAACCTCTAGTGGAATTACCTGTTCAGATGAGAAATAAACCTTGATTAGTCATTATTCTGCGTCTCTTTCATCATCTGTTTTCGAATCAGCAATAACAACAACAAAAACAATGATAATAATAATAATAACGGAAAACATTTCTTTAAAAATCAGCTTGATTTGAACCAGATAAAATTACAAAACAAAGTGAATGAGTAGACAGGAATATAGTATAATATTTATATACTTATAACTATGAATGCCTATGGGGACAATCAGTTTGAAATATATTTATTATCAACATATTACAATGAACATACACTGCTGCATGTATCAACAGGAGACGAGAATAATAATAATAAGGGAATGCAGGCGAGAGTAAACAAAACGCAAATTAACCTGTCATCAACCGTCAACAAAAGTGGGGATGGGTAAACAAAACAAACAATAACAGGTAAACAACTTTCCACTCTCATGATATATTCCTTCCTTCTTCCCTCCCTCTTCGTTTACTTCTTTTATTTAGCTATTTATTTATTTGTTTATTTTGTTTTGATGCAAGTCATAAATCTTTGTCTTTTGTTTGCTAGTTTATATTTTCCTCTCTTTTGAAAGCAGCTTTCATTCTCTTATTTTTGTTTTGTCATATTCAACTTTCATCCGTTTATAAAAGAAGAAGAAAAATACTATGCATAATACTGCATAATGTTATCAACAATTCATTTTCCTATTAGCCATATTCATCATATATATCACACTGTTAGGTAACTCATCCATTTTCTCATCATGGGTAATGCCAACTCGCTCACCTTATTGTCTGCCCACCTTTCATACATACATATATATATATCCCTCTCTTGGGGATATTTTCGATAAATAAATGAATAATTAACATTACTATTCAATTTTCTTATTCACCGTTCTCTGTTAATTTATTATTATTATTATTATAACTGGGCCAGGGGAGTATAGGGGTAGGTGCACTTGAGCTGTCTATTTGATAAGACCTACATAACTCTGTTGCATGTTATTTGGCTGTATGTGCGTAATCCGCGTGCGCTAGCAGGAGTACCAGTGTGCGTGTGCGTATGCCTCTGTGTGTGTGTGTGTGTGTGAGGGGATCATAATGGGCGGCGGGGGCAGGGGTCTTGTGACTGTTGCATTTATAGTAATGTAAAAGCATTAAAATGTGTTTATGCCTACGATTATTACCCTCGTGGGAACATTTCAAAATACAGGAAATGAAGTTTATTCATCATTTCGCCTTCGTTTTTCTTTTAGAAAAAAATGATAATAACAACAACAACAAAAACAGCAATGTAATTAGTTGATTGTGCAATTAATTTTTATTTATGAGCAGACTGGTGATGTGTGTTGAATACAGTGAATGACCAGAAGAGAAAAAAGCAACAAAAGTAAACATGTCAGGATGGTCATTTCTTTGTTGTCCTCTTAGCTGATGTTGATTTTAAGCAAAATGGAAAATAAACGAAAACAAATTATCTTTCATTATTATTAGTTTTTAGAATCAACATAATAATCATTATTATTATTATCATCATCATCACCATCATCGTCAAAATTAAAATTAGCAACAAATGTATGAATGTTGTTCAACGTTTTCATGTCCCCTCTCAGTTGTATACATGTTAAAATGAATAATCAGTAAGAAATGCTTAGTTGTAACGGAATGTCCAGGTAGATTGCACCTCCGTTACACATTCTCTGAAGTAGGCACCTATTAAAGCAAGGTGTTCATTGACCGACTAAACGAACTTCAAGAATAAAAGCGCTGTGTAAATCTCCTCACTACAGAAATCCTAGATCTTGATGGAAACTGGCTACTTATATCTAAGTAATGAAGGTTTGCATCTGAACTG